GAGAGAGAGCATTACCAAAGGCATGATATAGCAATTTGATAAACTATCAAACTGGGACCAGAATCTGACCAACATCAAATTAAAACTAACGGACTTGGTAATGGCAAATTGATCATGTTCGCACATTTCTTTTAAACCATTTATGCCTTTAAGAAAAGTGACAATATTTTTGATGTGATCTTCAGCTATGAATCCGGAAAAACGGAGCAAAACTTTACTATCGTTTATATTGACCACATTTTTAGGCGTCGGATAACTTCCGTCTATAACACGGGACGCGTTGAACAGCTCTGACATACGGTTTGACTCCAATTGATTTAATCCGTGATAATCTGTCAGCGATTTAAATATGGGAACCAATGGTAACGAAGTTGGTATTACTGGTACACTATTGATGGCAACCGTATTAGCAGTAAATGGATTGTCTATAACATCGGGTTCATTGAAATGCTCATTAAGTATGGATATCATAGGATATAACATTGAATTATCATCTATGTTATCATTAAGATCATAATTATATTGATTTAAAGTATCCAGAATTTGACCCTCGTTGTCTATGCAAAGATCATGATCAAAATTATGATTAACATGTTGTAAACTAGTTGTTGAGACAATCATCTCTTCCTGTTTTTGTTGTCTTAGTTTCCTTTCATTAGCCGATTGTCGTCGCCATTGATTTTCCTCCTCATCTCTCAAACATTCCTAACAATTGTTGTTAATATTTTGGTTAAATATATTGTTTAGATTTTGTGCTAAAATAAATGTTTAATACTTTTTTCATCCCAACGGCAATGCATTTATCANTCTCTCAAACATTCCTAACAATTGTTGTTAATATTTTGGTTAAATATATTGTTTAGATTTTGTGCTAAAATAAATGTTTAATACTTTTTTCATCCCAACGGCAATGCATTTATCAAATCTACACTTTTTGCACGATTTTCTTGAGCCGAGAGTTATATTACATGTGCCCTCAAAACGGCATTTAAACTGCTATTTAAATACAATAGAAATTTATTTTTACCTTATATTTTATTTATATTTTACCTTATTTTTAAGTGCAGTTCTCCTGAAGAATGATTTACACGAATCACAAGTAATTGCTGTAAAATTGCGGCCTAAATATTAAATAAAAATATAATAATATAAAATATTAATTAATTTTATTACTGAAATTACATTTAATATATTTATAAATTTATTACCAACTGATTTCTCTCCTCCACAGACACAGCAAACATTTTTCTTTTTATTACAGCTCATTGTAATGTAAATATAATACTAATATTATATAAAATATGGTAATTATTTAACCAATTAAAAATTAATAAATTATTTAAAGTATTGCCTAAAACAAAATAAATATACTGCAGTTATTTATAAAAATAAATGCATTATTATAAATATGGTTTACCATTAGAAGTTGTAATAAGTGATTGTCATGGCAATTGATAAATATAATACCAATTCTGATATATACAGTACTTATACATTACTTTGGTGTTTTTAATTTATAAAAGTTTACTTATATATCCAAAAAGTAATTGTCTATATAAATTGTAATGACATAATTTTTATATTAATTCCCAATATTCTATTTTAATAAATAAATTTCAACCTTATATTATTATGAACAATATCAGTAAATAATATTTAAAATATGGTCACATTTAGAACTATATATCAATCCTGTTACACAATTCGAACTACATGTTTTTTATTATTATTTAAATATTTAGATACCTAGAATAAACATTTTCGTCATTAGACACATGTACTTAAAAAATACACTTGTTATCAATTATGATATAATTTTATACATTTTACTTCAATCATTATAAGAAATGCTAGTATTTAATAATGTTATATTACTAATATAATATTATGATATAATATTAGATAATCTCGCTGAAATGTGGTGCATACATTTGCATAAATGAAACAAAGTTAAATTCACTAATTGCAAGTCTAAGGCAATGTTAATCCTATCGGAATGTTAAATCTATATCATTGCCGATCTTATTAACTTTAATCTATGCGATTCATTTTAGTATCACCAGAATTTTAATAAAAAATGTTTGTAAACAGAATAAAGTGTAAAGTTTATGAATAACATTATTCAAGCGATTGATTACAGGTTTACAAACGCTCTAACGCTCTACACAATGGAAACCAATTAATCAATAATATAATAATTGTTTTTAAAAATCCACCCTGTTTTTAATATTCATAAATAACAAAATAAAAATTTAATTAAATATATTTATGTTTTATTTTGTTGACAACTTTTGACATATTAGGTAATCTCATTAATAAATACAATGACACCCAATGGTATACATACAAAAATAGTATGAGTTTTTTCGTGTATTAAATAAATTCAATTTCATATATGACATTATTTTTGAAAGTTAAAGTAAAATATTTAAAATAATCAAACAAATTAAAGTATAAATAATATTAGTCCTAATTGTTTATCAACTTATAGTTGTCTAAGTATACCAATTAAATATGTATATATATTCCGTTATACCATTAGTTAAAATAAAATTCAATGAAATATATGACTGCGTTGAGAATGGTCAAAATATATCATTATATACTCCTTTCGTTATTGAATTTGGTGTAAGAATATTTATATTTTGTTTATGATAATACTGTATATTTATTTAGGTGATTTATAATATTAATTCTTAAATGTATCAGGAATATTTATATGGAATGTTTTTATCGTTTGTACAACATATTATATGCGTGTTAAATCAACCTATTTTAATTGTCGATTACAATAATAATGAGGTAATGTATAATTTTGAAACATATTGAAACTTTAGAAATCATGATTAATTACACAAATAATTTTATTCTTAAATATTATAATAAATACTGTAGTTTCACATATCATTTACTCCGCATTCAATGTTACACTATAAGAAAGAAGAAGATGACCAATTTGTATTAGTTTATAATGAAGAAATGTATATGATCGAGATAATTTCCGGGTTGCGATTAAACCGTGATGTATCATTGTTTGGTGTATTGAAAATATTTCATTATAAGGTATTATCAAATATTTTTATATTAAATAATGAATACTATAACAAGTCTAAAATAATAATATTTATTGAATATAAGAACAAGCCTTAAACAAATATATCAGTATTTATAAAACATTAATTTAATTTACAAATTGATTATAATTAAGCTTAGTTAAAAAAGCTGTTAAAAATGTTTTAATTGTTGCAATTTTCAAAAAACGCGAGACTAGTGTTAGACAAATACCTAACAATTAAACCCCGAATTTAAATTTCGGGAATCGAATAAAAAGTGTTTTTATAGTTTTTATAACTGATTCCTCATTCAACACAAATACAGTCATATCCAGAGATATATCCTTTTAATCGCATTGAATTTTCTTTAATTTTAGGCATTTTAAAAACTCAATGGGTTTTAAAATTATAAAAACACTTTTCATTCGATTCCCGAAATTTAAATTCGGGGTTTAATTGTTAAGTATTTGTCTAACACTAGTCTCGCGTTTTTTGAAAATTGCAACAATTAAAACATTTTTAACAGCTTTTTTAACTAAGCTTAATTATAATTAATAATACATCTTATATTTTTGGGTAAATTATTAAATAATTTTGATGCATATATAAACAACTCACACACAGCGATGCTATACGTTAACCACGATTCGAGTAGTGCTTAAAGAATAGATTAGCATTATCTATATATTTAATAAGAGTCCATAGGATTAGCACTACCCATAGACTTAGCATTGTCCATAGACTTAACATTAGTCCATAGGATTAGCATTAGTTTCATTGAGTTAGCATTGCCCATGTTAATCTTATAAAATTATTATAATAGTTTAATAGACTCCAAATGTTATACTTAACATTTTTAATGATATTTAAAATTTTGTTATTTACAAAATTACGTTAATTATATTAGGTTTGGATAATTATCGCATTATTTGCATTCCTTATTACTGTATTAATAAAATGCAAATATCCTGATCAGACAAATTTGAAGCATGCAATAATGGACATGTTCAATCTAGTAATTAATCAATCGAATAATTTATTTAATAAAATAATAAATTTAAAACCCACTGGAATATCAATGATTGCATTGATTTATATTTGGATTTTAAGTTCACTATTAATAACGCAATTTTATTGCAACGATTTATTGGACTCTTATATTAACGTACAATTCGTGCCAATAGTGAACACAATTGAAGATATTTTAAACAACAACGAAATGAATGTAATTTTAGATAAAGATCGAATTAATACAATCGCTAAAGAATTTCCACAATTTAATCACACAATGAATGCACTCATTGCTAGACATAATAGATTTGAACGAATAATGAATAAAACGAACGTTGATTTTAGCGATTATATGGATACTTATTTCTGGGAAATGATTGCCGGAAATGTTGTTATATTACAAAGTACAAGTTTAAATCGTGACATATCTATCTTAAACCAATTATATGGCAACAGGTATTCGATTAGTGAACACAAGTATTTTCCCCACAGTTCATATTATTATATTGCAAGAAATGCCATTAATTTAAAACCACAAATACTTCAAATGTAAGTATACTGCAGATTGTATTATATGAATTCAAACAAATGATACAGAATTAAGTGACATAATGTATTTCAATGGCATATTTGAATTTCTCATAACTCAAAAAGTACTTATTGGTTTTGACAAACTACTGTATATACCAAATTGTTTAGAATAAAATATGACTTGCTATATCTATCAGTATTTTTCTCGTAAACGATATAAATGTAAGTGTTTTGCTTTAAAGTGATCAAATTTACATAATTACAATTGTTTGCCATTTAAAATCTACATGTTCAATTTTAATGATTAGTGCATCAAATTGTTCATAATTAGATACTGCAAAAAGTAATTTTTTAAATTTTTGATTTTTCAACTAAAACATTTAAAAATCGATATAGAAAAAGTCTCTCATAGAAATACATTATGATACTTAATTCTGTATCATTTGTTAGAATTCATATATCAAGGTTTGATTATGAATACAGCTGTCCAAAGCACTTTGAGAAAGTACTTTTGAACCCCCGAAAGTACATTTGATTTTGCCAGCCATTCGTCATTAGTTATACCCTTTATATTATTCATACTTGTATTAAAATACAGATACGTTATGAATGACAAATAAAAAGGGCATAAGTAATGACGAAAGGCTGGAAAATTGCAGGCGGTGCGTCAAGCGCGAAATTCAACGATTGGCCATTAGTAGTTATAAATTATAACTCTTATGCTGTAATTTTAACGACACTTCATTTTCAAAAATGTCGTTTATAATATCATGATACCTCTCTCTTAATCTTACTCTAAATGGATTGAACATAAAATTACAGAATAATCCTATGGCTATGCTTTACATAAGTTCCATTTCATAAGGGGACGCTCAGAAATCTAAACCCTCCCCCTTTGATTTCAATTGTTCACATGTTGTTGTTTTAAAAATATTACGTTAGCAAAATTGTCGCGTGTTGTTTATGAACAATGTAAAGTCCATGGTAATGATAGTGGCGCGCGAGAAATTAAAACATTTTGTTTCTTTTAATGCTACAGAATGTTTAAAAAACATGTTTAATTTTTAATCTACTTATACCAATCTGGATTAAGTAGCTAATTATATTATAATATTTAAATTGTTAACAATTTTAAATTAATATAATTAAATTTTATACGTTCAATAAATTAAATAAAATATGTATGTTCCTGTTATTTCGTTATATCGGATGCCTGATATTTACATAAAGTATATTAACACTAGCATACAAAGCCCTTTAAAACTGGCGCGCTCAATTAGATTGAGCCTATCGTAACCCACTATCTCTCTGCTCGCATAGCGGATACGCCACATATACTTTAAATATTCTACGCGACTGTAATGCACTACACTGCACTACGTCATGCACTACACGTACTGTGAAAACACCACTTGGCTTATAAAGGTATTGGATTTGCTTCATATTTTTAATAGGTTTAAACGCGGCTTAGAATGTGGATTGAATTATCACCATGATATGATTTACAAGATTTTAGTAAAATGGAATTTTATACTAAATATACGAAATGATACGGAAATGGTTTCAACGGATAATAACACATATAATGACATAACAATTGTTGATATATTTCGAAATGCATTCCCGCTGTTAATCATAGGATGTTTCGTTGCATTTATAATAATATCAATTGAATTAATTTCACACAATATATACATTATTTATGCATTTATTATATCTATTCTAGTGTTTGTCAAAAGCATTACATTTTGGTTGATTCATAAGTCAACTAAATTAATCAATTATTGTGTCCGAAGTTTATCCGAAGTATAGTCATTCAATGGCAGAGAATCGGTGGACCAGTTGTCAGGTATTACAGGAGTATATCTAGTGGTCGATATAAATCTACATAATTTCATACAACAATACAAAACACAATTCTATGTTTAATAAACTATTTTACTTACATTTCAGTTAACAATAACTTTTATTATGTAAAATAAATTACACAAAATTAAGTGTCTTTGAATTATGCATTAAATGTTGTAATAAATTACTACAATCACAATTAAGTATTATTGTTTTAAATCATTATTAATGAAAACACTAATACTAAACTTTAACTTACATGTTACATTATTAAAACAGGTAAATGCTTTAATAATAAAACAATTGTTGCACTTATGGTCTAATTTACAGGAATTATTATAAAATCCTAGAATTAGAGAATATTTGTCTCATACAGGAGGGGGTCATTCCTATACATTGAAAAGTATAGGAATAAATATTTTGGGATTAAAGCTGTATTAGACTATTGTTAATCAATTTGCAGTGATAGAGATGTAACTGACATTCATATTGTATGCATAAACATTAAATACTGTTATATTAGTTAAATGGAAAATATCTTATTGCACATGCAAATTTTTCACAATATTGAACACTACAACATGTTTGTTGTTAGAAATGGTACACTTGAAGAAAAAAAATTGTCAAAATCTTAATTTTAAGCGATATATCGACGGAAATTTCCAACGGTACTTCAGTGCACCGTTCACCGACCACCTATCCCAACTATTGTGCTAATATTTTA